AAAGTTTTCTGATGACTATCCCCATACTATGTAGCTAGTCAACTCTTTCGCAGCTCTTTGAGATAATGGGAAAAAAATCAATTATTTCAATATGTATGAATAATACTGCATTCTTATGAGCGTTGCTGTCTTATTACTGACCAGCAGAAAGGCTCAACACCACCAGTTACTACTGTGACCAGGGCCACAACACTGAAAATTGAACAGTTCTGAGTTTGTGCCAAACCATGAACCTTCCACACAGCCAAACTACCTTGTAGAGTTTCACCTAGTCCCTGAGATCCTCTCCCAGCTTTCTGTGACCCTGTTCAGGTTTCATTGACTGCCAGCATCCACAGGTGAGATTCCTTTTTCTCAGAAACATGCAAGAAAATACATATTCCTTCCATTTAGCCTCATAAATATAAATGCACATGCTCAAAGGGATTAGGCTGCCAGCTTGGCTATGGGACTAGAGATGATTTTCAAGTCCAAACACTTCTCAGTGTAAAAAACAACATCTCCCTGCCTTCTACCTGTACAGATCCACTGATCTGAACTCTAACTGGAGTTTCATTTTTCTCACCAACCAGCTGTGAACTAATTAGGACTTCTAACTAGTCCTGCTCCCTCTCCAAGCATATGGATCCAATTAAGTCAAACTGCAGCTGATGTTAATCAATCTTCCTTGAAGCAGCCAAACTTGAAGACTCTCTTCTCCTTCGGCTGGAAGAGCAGAGGAGAGCAGGAAAAGCAGGAGAATAGTATTTGCATAAGGAACACTTCACATCCGCTTGGTTGCCTGCAAACACAGGGCTCCCAGCAGTAAGAAATGCTAATTGAACACTCCTCACAAGCCTTTCCTCCCACTTTATCCAAAAAGCACTGATTTGATCAGTCTCTTGTTCCTGGCATCGAGCTGTATTTCTCCACCAGCGGCTCGGGAACGTGGTCCGGATCATTTCAGACAACTAAACCAACCAAACCTTGCACTGAAATCTCAGCGACTCTGCCCACCGTAGGCCAAGCAGGAACAGCACATCTGCTTTCCTGGAAGTCTTCTCTGCTTCATCGAAAGAAAGAAGGGTAGGAGAGAAAAGATGAAATTGTCTGGTCAAACCCACTCTTCTCATATATTATTTGAATCCTTCTCCTGAGCCACAGTTCAAATGCTTTTCTCAGAATAATACCCTGGGCGACAGGGAGGCACCCTCAGCAGGGCATCATTTCTCTACAGTTCCAACGTTTCTTGTGTTTTTGTAATCTGAGGTTTTTATTAGCAGTAAAGACCTGACCAGTGAGTAATATCCATGCTAAAGTCTTTATATCAGTGAAGGAAAATCAATGCAGCCTGCAGCTAGGTGTCAAGAGCCAAGGGGTTTTGGAAGAAGGGGTGCATGGAGGTGGAAAGCACCTTCAGCCATAATTCAAGCTGTCCCCACACAAGCACAGAATACAAAGAGTGTCAGATGTTATACACACTGCTGCAGATAGCTATCAGTATCTCAGTTTCTTTATTTGCTAATACTGAGCTCAGGGAGCGTGACTCACACTTCTAACACAAAAGTACCTTCCCACTGCTCGCTTGCCCTCTGGCCAGTCCATCTGGGTCCCGAAGTTCACAAACCGGGCTATTGTTAGCAGCAGCCAAAGCAGGAACGAGCAAAATTCATGTGCCAATACTCAGACACAAAAGGTTGTGAGAACAAGCAAACATTTTTGAAACTTTACTCCTTTCCATGCATCAATACAGTCTAACACTGACTTTTTTAATCACCAAATGTTAGCCGGATCTCCCTAGATTCATTCAGCGCACGCAGCTTTGCGAACTCAGCAGACTTCGGTCCAGCGTAAAGCAGTCAAAGCCTTAGTTCTACATCCTGCCTTTTCCCAATTCACATCTTTAATACGCCCCCTCTATGTGTCTTCCATTTACCAGATACAATTCCAGAAAGTCAGAGGTTTTATTTCAAAAAAGAAGGAACAGCAGATAAAGATTTGTCAGAAATCATCCTACCTTGTTTAATGTCACCTCCTACTTTTGCTTACACCTTTATCTGATTTGATGCCATGCTTTTCCCACGTTTGTAATTTCAATTACCTTTCTCTTCAGTAAAATTTTCCCATGATTTCTGTATATAAAGTTTCCCTTGCTTTTTCTTCCCCTTCGTGATAAACAGACATTATTTTAACCCATCATTTCCCACTGATTTCATTCAGAGATGGGAATAAATAACATGTCAAACTAGCAACATTTCAGTGACCTTATCTGAGTGTGTAATAATATTCTCAGTGTATTTGCTCAGCACTGATAGAAGAGGTGGATTTCTAAGCTTATCTTTAACTTAGTGGATTCCCACTGTAAGGAACCTTCTTCCAACGTGTGTATAAAAAAAGTCATTCCAAGCTTGGCCTATCAAGATATCGGATTCTCAACGTGGATAAAAAGTGGGAAGGCTGATGTCTTCCCCTCTGAGGAGTTCTGAAATCTTGACCGTCGAGGCGGGCACGCATTGATCAATACTGGCATTTTAGCATTCAGCATAAATATTCCTATATGTATGCTTTCCTCTCTACTCCTCTTTCGGAGAAGCTGCTTTTGGCATCCAGTCCTCCAAGACACAAGCAAAGTGAGAAGCTAAGGAATGGTGGAGCTACCACCTGTTAAATAAGGCATTAAAGCCATGTCCTCAGCCTTGGCAAAGCAGATGTAAGAGCATGATTACCTGAACTCAGCTCACTAACGAGCCTTTTGGAGGACTGGCAGATTTCTCTCTCCTAGACCTGCTAAGCCAGATGACCACCTTCCTTGTCTTTTTCTACACTTACACGTTATCTCCTCCTTCCCAGGTCATTTTTCCCCTGCTCTATCTGTAGGTCGTTCCTGTTCTCCCCCACTCCCCCCGCAAAGCCCTGACCTACGCAATTCTGCATCCCAACTGCGAGCACCATTAATGAGATAGGTCATGGGGATCCTGTGAGGAGCTTTCAAAGCCTTTTAGGTGAACAGTACAACTGTTGTAGTACAGTAACTTTACCATGGTAAGAAGGTCCCATCTTGTTCCTATCACCACGTTACTTTTCTATACTATGAAAGCTCAGCCATCCAAACGGTAGCTGCTGCCGACATCCTCTACTGAGGACCAGAAGGCATTATTAGCAAGAGTATGGTGAAGACTTCAGACCTTTCCTCTTTGAATGTGCAATTTAAAAAGCCTGGTGTTTCAGCATGAGCAAACAAAGCAGAAGGGCTTGAGACAACACAAAGAAAACAGGGAATTCCTCTGGTCAGGTCTTCTTGGAAAGCCAGCAGCCATTGCAAGACAACATTGGCAGATTAAATGTGACCCAAGTGAGTTGTAATCTGCTCTGAAGCCAAAGCTGCTGTTGTGTTTGTCGGAGACCTAAGCATCCAAACACCAGCCCAAAGCTTTCATCTCCTTCTGATGACTGAAACCCAATTAAAGGCGAGCAGGGTGACAGGTTTCACACTAAACATGGCTCAGCGGAGATGATCAGCAGCTCTTAGCTCCCTGCTTTACCAAAGCTGTCACTTCCCCTGTCTCTAGGATAGGTAATAATAATAAAAAAAAAAAAATTTTGATTTGTTTCTAATAGGTGTCAAGATAAAATCAATGGTCTGTCTGAAATTTGAGTAATTTCAAACCTGCAGGTTTCCTACCATGAAACCATTTACATAAAAATGGAAAAAAAAAAAAGAAGAAAGAAAGAAAGAAAAATTAAGAGAATGAAATGCTAAAATGCCAAATTTTTCAGCATATCAGAGAGAACAGCAAGGAGAGAGAACACCGTTCATAGCAGGATATGATGACTGAAACCCAATTAAAGGCGAGCAGGGTGACAGGTTTCACACTAAACATGGCTCAGCGGAGATGATCAGCAGCTCTTAGCTCCCTGCTTTACCAAAGCTGTCACTTCCCCTGTCTCTAGGATAGGTAATAATAATAAAAAAAAAAAAATTTTGATTCGTCTCTAATAGGTGTCAAGATAAAATCAATGGTCTGTCTGAAATTTGAGTAATTTCAAACCTGCAGGTTTCCTACCATGAAACCATTTACATAAAAATGGAAAAAAAAAAAAGAAAGAAAGAAAGAAAAATTAAGAGAATGAAATGCTAAAATGCCAAATTTTTCAGCATATCAGAGAGAACAGCAAGGAGAGAGAACACCGTTCATAGCAGGATAGGCTTTGATGAAACCAACAGGCTCAGGTTCTTGTTTGCTCCAGCACTTTTCCAACAGGAAACTCGATAAAAGCCTGACGCAACTCCCGCACCCCACAGTCCACGCATCTGCTGCAGGTGCCCTGGCCCTCCCCCAGGGAGAGTGAGGCTCCGCTGATCTATCCAGCATGAAAAGCTGAAGAACTTCTGCCCTACAGGACAGCACGACCTCAGGAAAAGGTAAAACACCCACAGCAGCACAGGAAAAGAAACACACCCTTTCATCCTTCTGCCTCTCTGTGTCTGTGATCTGGAGATGCTGCTGTGTCTTCTCAACAGCACTGATGCTTCCTGGCTTGGAAAACTACTACCTAATGAGGCCACAACCTGGTGGTCTCCGTCTGCACCGCTCCTAGCAGCGGTGGAGTCTTCAGTACGAACGGAGCTCAAGTTTTCATATCAGCTCCATGCTGTTCAGCCCTGTCTATGCTCCCGCTTTGGCCTGAATGAATTTGGAGACAGACAACTTATGGTAGTGGAGTTATTTAAAATGGAATGGTTTTTAAGGCTCCAAGAAGAATAAGAAGAGGTTCTAAGCAAAGGCATCAAAAAAGTCAACTGCATTGGTGTGACTGCATCTGACATCAAACCGCTCCAGTAACACGGTCAGAGATGCGGCCGTGTTGGTGCGGTTTGCACAGGCTGCCAAAAAACGCCCTGCCCAGTTTGAGGGAAGTGAAGCTGCGCGCTGGGAGCATTCTGGCACATCTGTTCGAGCAGCCCTGGCGAACGGGCCATGTCCGGCTCTCCAGCAGCACTGGACCCCCACGCTTCCTACCTGCAGGGTTAGCTTCTCCAGCTTCGTTTCCAGAGATCTGTTCTCCTCCTCCAGCTTGCAGCGTTCAGCTTCCAGCTCCTCAATTTTCAGCCTGGAGAAGAAGGGAAAGTTAATAGACATTGTGTCCCTGCACAGTCCCACCACAAATAATCAAGTAAAACATGAAATCACAAGCAGTATCAGATTATTCCTGTATTCAGTACCACAAATCTATGCTACTGAGGCAGCTAAAACATATGACTAAAAGATAACAAGTTCATATGATGAAAATATAATTTGTAAAAGTCTATTAAAAATATACAACTTGAATACAAAGCAAATCTAATTTCGATCCTTCTGGAACCCCAGGCTGAGTCTAGACTATCATGTTAAATCACCACCAACAGCTAAAATCTCCACGAGTGCATCAAATCTCTTTCTGATCTGATTGATACTTTTGGCCTTCACAACACTCCTTGGCAGTAAGTCCACAATTTAATTATGTGCTGTATGAAAAATTAGTTCATTTTGTTTTATACTTCACAAGTGATTATTTCACTGAGTGCCTGTTAGTTCTGCTATGAAAAGTTGTGAATAACTGTAGCGTACTCCCCTCCATACCGCTTTACAGGCCTCCTCTGTTAATTCCTGAAGAAACTCAATTTAATCTTTCCTCACATCAAGGATTTTCCATATTTCTGCTCATCTTTATTGCCCTTCCTTGTTCTTCCTCAAGTTTTATATAGACTTTTTGCTATGAGAAAAGCTAGAACTACAAACAGCACTCAGGTGTATTCAGTGATATAATGAGGCTTTCTGTTTCGTTCTCTTCTTCGTTTCTAATAATTCCTAGTATTCTATTTGCCTTTTTAACTACTGAGCAGTTACCTGGTATTTTTAGAAACCTGTTCACAATAATGTAGGATCTCTTTCTTGAGTGATAACAGCTCGTTTGGAGCCCACTATTGTGGGAGTAAAAGTAAAGGCGCCTTTTCTTACGTGCGTGGGTTTTGCAATTATTGACATACAACCTCATTTCCAAACTCGAGCAGCATCATCAGATTCTTCTGAAACTCTGAGCAATCTGTTAAGCTGAGTAATTTCATATTATCTCAGATTCTGTCACCTCACTAGTCTTTGTGCTGGACAACAAGTTTCCAATAAAAGCCATTCCAGGACCTTGTGGAAACCCCTCAGCATTGTGTAAACAACATTCATTCTTCGATTTTCCATCTTTTACCTTTGTATTACACAAGCAAACTCATGCAAGAAATAACGCATCGAGCTTTACAAAGTAGAAAGACGTTCTATTATCTCTGGCTCAGGAAATCCTGGAGACAAGGCACTAGAAGCCAGGACAGCCTTCTGGGAACGTACCCCAGCAGCTCTGTCCTATCTGCATCGTCACCCACCACGGCCATCCCTGCAGAGTGCACACCGGGACAGCCAGCCCTCTGTGATCTTCATATTCTTATCAATCCAGCAAAAAACCTTTTTTTTTATTCCAGCAGAGTAAGGTTTCCCTGTGACCTTTGGCTCAAAGCTTTTTGAAAGGTCAAATATATTAAATCAACCATATCAGCCTTAGCCAAATGATCGCTGAATTCTTCAGAGAACTCTATCCAACTTGTTAGGCAGGTGATATTATTATAAAACATTCCATATAACATTTTTTTGCTTGCATTTAAGTACAGAGTACAAAAACCTTAATGCCGCTTCAAGAACCTCATCTTTCACATGCTAACTTCCTGGGATTAACTGTGCAACTAATGCATATTAATATCGATCTTTGCATTCAATTTTCTTGGTATCTTTTTCCAGAATATTTTTAAAAATTAATTATCTTGCTTGATAACACTCACTTCTAAATGACCTAAATTAAGCTGAAAATTCTTGCACCGTGACAACAAACAACGCACCCATCTGTCAATGTAGCAAACTTATGCAACAGGAATTTCAGGTACAACGAAGAAGTCATCTCCCCTAGTCACCGGGCAAAAGTTACAAACTCTTCCATCGAAGCTGGCTGATCTACAACATGTCCAGCCAGAAATGTCGCCGGTATAAATACGCAGCTGGAATTGCTTCAATTATTGGTAAGCCCGACCCCTGCTGGTAATTTCCAGATATGATGAAGTACCATCCTTTTTCACTCTTGGAAGCTTCTAAAACTCCGAGGAGCGGCTTTTAGCATTGTCTAGGCCATTACAAAAGATCATCAATAATTTCCAGAAGAGACACAAAGCTAGCGGGGATGGAGGATGCTGAAGAAGCACGAGACCGAAAAGGTCGGAAAAAATGGAAATTCAAAATGGAATTAATGCTTTTAATGGCATGTTTCTAAATGGATTGCAGAACAGACCACAAAAAGAACAACATTTTTCTCCAAGGAACAACAGCGCAGCAGCTACTGAAAGGTCAGAGCCAGACACAGGACTCTCATCAGTATTTTCTCCATACTTGACATGCTGAATTTTAATTTAGAACAAATTTCTTCCCATCCAGCCTCCCAAATAAGCTGTGATGCTGCCATTATCTGCCTGCAGGACTTCTCTCCTTGTGGAGGTTTATGCTCAGGCCTCTTAGATGCCCTTTAAAAATCATTCCTAGCAGTCACCAGAAAACACTTCTCCAAGATCTGAGACACAAGCGAGCTGTAAAAAGGGTAGGTTTAAGCCACTATATTTTTGTTTTATTCCACCTGCAATTTCAAGATCTAATAATTTGCTCACGCCCTTTGTGCCTCACCGAAGGAGGAGCGGCGATTCAGAGCCCAGGGTGCTCGCAGCCAGATGGCAGACGTACTCACACCAGGTATTTTGAGACCGGCAATGTGCACAGGAGTGCCTGCAAGCGCGGCGGAAGTTCACAGCCCGCTCCCACGAGCTTGCCCTTGAGCTTGTCACCCACACGCCCGCTCCCTCCCCTCCTGGTTTCAGCTGGGAAAGAGTTAATTTTCCTCCCAGTAGCTGCTGTGGTTTGGATTTAGTAGAGAAGAATGTTGATAACACTGATGTTTTAATGATAGAAATAAAGGACTTCTCCCAGTTGCCCATGTTCAGCTAAGGAGGAGGTGTGCAGGAGCTGGGAGGGAGCCCAGCCAGGCATCTGGACCACACTGGCCAATGCAAATACTCCTTACCACAGGCATCCTGCTCAGTTTATGAATGAGGGTTGGCTGGGCAGCAGAAACTCTCTTTTGCAGGAGTTTCAATTATTTTCCTTTTTCCCAAGTGTTTGAACTTTTCTGTGAACTCAGTCTTTTTTCAGGAGTTCCGTGAAATTCGCGAGTTCCAGGTTCTGCGATCACTGCTCAGGGACTGGCTGCAACTCGATCGTCGGGTAGTGAGAAAAAAGTTGTGTTGTGTATAGTTTGTTTTGCATATTCATTAGTAGTAGTAGCATTTTCTTTTGCTGTCATATTAAACTATCTTTATCTCAACCCACGAGTTTTACCTTTTTTCCATTCTCCTCCCCATCCCACCGAGGGGGACGGAGTGAGTGAGCGGCTGCGTGGTCCCAGTTACTGGTTGCCAGGTTAAACCACACCCCACTCCCCAATCCCCCAGTTATTGGGGTATTGCTGGGGTATCCGCGGGGCATCCTTCTTTGCTTCAGTCTTCAGTGCTAAGACTGGCCCTCAGGAATCCCAGGCCCCGGAGGTAAGAGAGGAAGCCTACAAAGAGGACGACTTTCCCTTGGTCGAGGAGGACTGTGTGAGGGATCGCTTAAGTGATCTGGATGTCCACAAATCCATGGGCCCCGATGGAATGCACCCACGAGTGCTGAGGGAGCTGGCGGATGTCATTGCTGAGCCACTCTCCATCATCTTTGAGAGGTCCTGGAGGACAGGAGAGGTGCCCGAGGACTGGAGAAAGGCCAATGTCACTCCAATCTTCAAAAAGGGCAAGAAGGAGGACCCAGGGAACTACAGGCCACTAAGCCTCACCTCCGTCCCGGGAAAGGTGATGGAGCAGCTTATCCTGGAGGCCATCATCAAGCAAGTGGAAGAAAAGAAGGTTATCAGGAGTAGTCAGCATGGATTCACCAAGGGGAAATCATGCCTGACCAACCTGATAGCTTTCTATGATGACATGACTGGCTGGGTAGACGAAGGGAGAGCCGTGGATGTTATCTACCTTGACTTCAGCAAGGCTTTCGACACAGTCGCCCATAATATCCTCCTGGGGAAGCTGAGGAAGTGTGGGCTGGATGAGTGGTCGGTGAAGTGGATAGAGAACTGGCTGAATGGCAGAACTCAGAGGGCTGTC